GACACACACACACACACACACACACACACACACACACACACACACACACACACACACACACACACAACTCAGGGTGTTCTCTTGGTCTAGAGGTTACTGTTTTCCCATTTCATTCAATAGGTCCCAGGTTCGAAACCTGACAGCGACGGAAAATTTTCTTCTCTAAAATTGTCTCCTTTATCCTCCTTTCCCGCTCTCTAACCGTGTTCTGTTACATGTATCTACTTTCGCACTCCTTGGATCCTTTCTTATTGCTGTCTTTCAGCCACACCTTAAGGTAGGTAAGATCTAACACCTAGCCTTCTCGGACAAAGGCCAAAAATCTCGGAGGTCAGGTGTGCAAGTTGTGCACGTTAAAGATACCTTGGTGGTCTAAAATACAAAAGAGTAGGATTCGGTCGCCACCCTGGCAAAATTCAAATTTAATTCCTACCAAACTGAAAATTTTTAAAGAATGTGTCCCGCGCACTCATATGACCTTATGCAACTGCGGGCACATTAAAACACTTTCCAAAACAAATTTGTTGACTGATGAGATGCAACGTGTACATCTGATAAAATGTGTTGGTCAAGTCTTGAAAGTTAATGAAAGAAGCGTCAACAAACAGACGTTCACTTTCACACAGGAATTGAAGACAGCGTTGTAAAGAGAACACAATGGTCTTTGATGATGGATCGTAGTTTACAAAAATTATGTCTGTGGCTGCCTCCCCCACCCCCCCTCCCACCTCTTTTTCTCGTCAACCTCCCGATTCTTTGTATTGAGCGGTCTTATGACCTTATCTCTCCCCGTAGTTTTATGCACCCCGTATAATAATTTAGCAAAATTTGATCTTTTTTTTTTCATAATTTCTAATTATTTTCCTTTATCATTCGTTGTTAAAATTAACACAATCGCTTAATTTCCCATTTTTGGGCTCAGTTTGCATAACTTCAGAATGTTTTTTGCATAAAACCGCAGGAATAGCCTTATGCATTTGCAAGCGCCGTAAAACAGACGAAAACACACAACTCACCCGGAATGAGAGACAGCGCCTCCTCCACCCGTGCCGGCTCAAACAGGTGCCCGGACCCTGGCGCAGGCCTTACCACACACCTATAAATAGTTCCGTTGAGATCACGTGACACAAGCGTCTTGTAAATGCCCCGTGCTGACGTCATACACGCTCCGTTCTCGACTCTCGTGACGTCATCGAATGTCAAAGAGGTGAAGCCAGTCTCATGGGGCAGCTTCCTCTCCAATGTCATGGTCGCTCTCGGACGACCAAGGTTCGTGACGTCACATGAAATGTCTAGCTGCGCTTTGCTGTCCTGGAGTATCAGAGAGGGGAGAGAGAGGGAGGGGTGTGCAGGGGGTGCTGGGAATGGGGAAGGGGAATGGTTGGTGGGGATAGGTATCACTCACAAGATGAGATTAGCCAAAGCTCATTTAATTGTTAGAAATGAATTCAGGCTAGACTTGTCTTCCTTCCTTCTGTGGTCTATAATGACAGGGGCACTTATGTTACGTTATATCATACAACGTACTGTCTACGTTTGAGAGACACAATTAATGGGTCCTATTTCAGCTAGTAAGAAATGTTGTCTTTTTTAAATTCTAAAAAACAGGATAGGTTTTGAGAAATTTTAAAAAAGCTAGATCCAGGTTGTTCGGTTACTGTGCAAAGTTGCATAGAGGGAACAAAAATCAAAATATTTGATTTCCATTCATGTTAAACAATTCCGTAATATTGGTTTTGTTTTAGTAAGAGTTAAACAGCACTTGCAACATAATAAATTCAAATAAGTGCCAAAGATTAGTGAGATTACTAGAGAATAACATAGAAAGAAAGAAGGAGGAGTGACAATTAAGGACGCTAGTAGTTTGATAGGTAAGAAGGAGCAAACCACACCAGAGCACCCGCCAACCAACCACATAATTTGTTGGTAAAGAATCAGTGTGCACTTCATTTGTGTGTACTCAGCGGTTAGGCGCTGTACCGTCGCACACAGGACACCTAATTTCGATTCCCCAAGGGGG